CTGGCCATGTAGCATTTCTATTCATTTGTCTCCCAGGTCTGTCACTGGCGTTGTCCGCCCTTTTCCGTTGGCCATGCAGCATTTCTATTCTTTTGTCTCCCAGGTCTGTCACTGCTGGTGTCCGCCCTTTTCCGCTGGCGATGCAACATTTCTATTCGTTTGTCTCCCAGGTCTGTCACTGGTGGTGTCCGCCCTTTTCTGCAGGCAATGCAGCATTCTATTCATTTGTTTCCCAGGTCTGTCACTGCTGGTGTCCGCCCTTTTCCGCTGGCCATGCAGCATTTCTATTCATTTGTCCCCCAGGCTTGTCACTGGTGGTGTCCGCCCTTTTCTGCTGTTTCTATTCATTTGTCTCCCAGGTCTGTCACTGCTGGTGTCCGCCCTTTTCCGTTGGCCATGTAGCATTTCTATTCATTTGTCTCCCAGGTCTGTCACTGCCAGTGTCCGCTCTTTTCCGCTGGCCCTGCAGCATTTCGATTCATCTCCCAGGTCTGTCACTGCTGGTGTCCGCCCTTGACCGTTGGTCATGCAGCATTTCTATTCATGTGTCTCCCAGGCCTGTCACTGGTGATGTCCGCTCTTTTCCGCTGGCCATGTAGCATTTCTATTCTTTTGTCTCCCAGGTCTGTCACTGGTGTGTCCTTGTCTATTGGCCATGAAGCATTTCTATTCATTTGTCTCCCAGGTCCGTCACTGCTGGTGCCATGTAGCATTTCTATTCATTTGTTTTTCAGGTCTGTCACTGGTGGTGTCCGCCCTCCATGAAGCATTTCTATTCATTTGTCTCCCAGGTGTGTCACTGCTGGTGTCCGCCCTTTTCCGCAGGCAATCCAGCATTTCTATTCATTTGTCTACCATCACTGCTGTGTCCGCCCTTTTCTGCGGCCATGCATTAGTCTCCCAGGTCTGTCACTGTTGGTGTCCGCCCTTTTCCGCTGGCGATGCAACATTTCTATTCATTGGTGCTGCCGCCCTTTTCCGCTGGCCATGTAGCATTTCTATTCATTTGTCTCCCATGCGACTTCTTTCTTTTTGTCTTTCAGGTTTTGGTGCCTGCACTGCTGTTTTCTGCCGCGTGACTGTCTCCGGGAGTGCATTTCTGCCACACTGTGTAACTCTCTCAGCTTTGTTTTCCTTTTCGGGCAAGCGTTGGATGAATGACCGGATTGGATTTCGGCGGCGTGGCAGCGATCTCTCTGTTCAGTTGGGACGGAGGGCATGCGTCAGGCACCAAAAATCAATTTCATGTCACATCCTTCGCTCCTCATGCTTCTATTTCTTGTCCTCACGTGGTCAGCTCCTTGCTGATTGAGCAGCATGACCAGCATCATGTTCGCACTTGAAGAATAATTCCCCAAAAGGTTTACTGTCAGGGCTTCTCAATTCTTTCTTAAGATGTGTCCGCCCGCTCTGTACTGCTGTGTCCGTCTCTGCCTTGCAATCCTTTACGTTCGTCTCCCAGCTCTGGGCTGCTGTGGCCGCCTCTGCCTTGCAATCCTTTGTCTCCCAGCTCTGGACGTCGCAAGCTCTAGTTTCGATTTTGAAAAACACAAACTGTTTGGGGTCTACGGTGGTGTAATTACTGAACATTTCAGCCTTTTCCTCTGTCTTGAAAAACCGAGTGATCCGCAACTGAAAAATCCCAGTGATCGTGCCAAGCGGTGGATAAGGAAGATGTCAGAGTGGAATCTGAAACTGGGAGATCATGCCCGAGCTCTTTCGGATGCAGAGGATGCTCTCGAGATCTACCAGATGTTGCAGTCCCCATTAGAAGTGAAGGCAAGTATCACCGAGTCGACCTGTAACCATTCATGCATGAGATGGCAACATCAGGAAAAAAAAACCATTGAAAAACACACCACTTCTCCAAAAAGGACCAAACCCTTCCGCAGTCGTCCAAACCCTTCCGCAGTCGATCCTGGCTTGAAACACCGGGCGTGGACTGGCCCACCGGTCCAGCGAAACGGCACCGGTCGGACCTCCAGGCCTTGCGCAGCGTCTTCGACGCGCACCTGGCGCGGTCGGACATGCGGAAGGCACGTCTGGTGGCGGCCGAAGCCCTGCGACACTTCCGCGAGCGGAACGACAAACCTGCACAGGTGGGGGAAGGTGGGAGGTGAAGGTGAAGGATGGGGAGAGATTTCTGGAAAGATGGTGAAAAGTGAAAAGAGCGATTTCATGTATGAACGAGATGTGAAGAATTGTGTTGAGGTAAACAGGTGTTTAGGGTTTAGGGCAAGTTGTTTGTAAGTCGTCCAGGAGCTTCGACCATGATGGTATTTTTTTCTTTTTTAAACGTGCCTTTCAGCCCAGGTGCAGGCTGTTCGCATGCTCGTGGAGCTCTACGTGAAAGCCAACCGAGTTGAAGAGGCTTTGACCGCTGCAAAGCGTGGAATCACTGTCTGCAAAGAGCTCGGCGATACAGCTGCACAGGCAAAGCTTGGTGGGCCACGTTTTGTTGGAAAATCAACGAGAGCAGCCGAACAGCAAATCTCTTTAGGACTTTGTGGGGACTTTATGACTTTGCCTTCTGACACCCTACTTGTAGACCCTACCCCAAACCTCACACGAACCCTTCTGGACGACTTGATGAAAACTCGCAAGGCCTCTTTGATGCTGACCGTTGGCCGTGCCCGCTTGCGTATGGCGCAGCTGGACAAAGCCATCGCCATCGCACAAGACGCCTTTGCGATGCTCAAAAAGATACCCACAACAACACAGAAAATCTGCGATGACAAGGCGCGGACTTTGGTGGGCACTGCGTGGTGATGTGGTCATGGTGATTCCCCTCCAACCGTGGTGATGTGTTCAACATCGCAACAACGCAATAAAATCGCTTGCGAGGACACCCAGCCTTTTGTCTTGCGTTTCTCACCTCTGCTTTGACGCGGTTCGAATGAACAGACTCCGGTCGCGCATCGAAAAAAGCACCAAAGCCGCGTGGTCAGTGGTCAGGTTGAGGCGATGCACGTGCTGATCGAAGCGAAATACCATAAGGGCCATAAGGATGAAGCGTTGGATCAGGCCTTGGAATTCAAGGACTGCGGACTGCGGTTGTTTGGTTTGTTTTCTCCTTTTGTTTGGCAACCGGACTTGCTCAAGGACTAGTGACTAGAAAAACCAATATTCTACAACACACACAACGAAGTCAATGAGTCATCTTGGGCTCAGACGTTCCACAATTTTTTTTGGCAAGTATAGATAGTCTTCTTGTTTTTGTAATCGCATTTCCTTTTCGAGCCGATGAACCGGCCGATGAAACGGGGGTCAGTCCGAGGTGGATTGAAGAGCTTGTGCATGTTTTTGCGCATCGTTTTCTGTTGCCTCGCACGATCCTCTGAATCTCGGAATCCCTGGATTTTGCAGGAGATCTTTGAGCATCAGAATGATGGGCGGGCCTTGGGGCATGCGCTCTTGATTGCTGCCACACTGGAATTCAAGAAAGGCAACGTGGAAGAAGCCGCGAGCTACAATAGCAAGGCACAAGCGATTTTTGGTGAGGAGTCCGATATGGCTGGTGAGTCGGATGCTCTGAAGATGAATGCAGAGATTCAATGGAAGAAGAATGAATTCAAGTCAGCGATCCGATTTGCCGAGAAATCCAGAGCATTGTACCGAGAGCTTGGCAAGACGGAGGGCGAAATCGCTTGCATTTGGGCAGTATAAGGACAAACACTGGAAACCTGTGCAGGTGTGAGGTCAATTGTAGGCAGGCGATTTTGGGGTCAATTTACGACAAAAGCGCCCCAGGTATGTACATGATCTCTGAGAACGCGGTGCGTCTGTCCGTGAAGGAGGGTGCCAAGATCTTCAGCGAAGAGCCAGTCCCGCGGCAAGCGCGCGATGCTTTGGAGAAGGGGATCAAGCTGGCGGAGGCGGGAATCAAGTTGGCCAAGAACAACGGCCTTGCCACTGCGCCGGAGCTAATGGGCTCGCTGCTGTGCGCTCGAGCGCAGGGCTTGACGTTGAAGGCACGCTTCGACGAGGCGCTGAGCTGTGCAGACGAGGCGGTGCTCATCTACAGGGATTTGGGATGTCCCTTGGATGGTATTGATCTGTTTTTATTCATCAGAAACAATTCTTCAGTGCTTGTACTTTGCCACAGACCGCAGGACCGATGCACAAAGTCCCCCTTTTGAACATTTCACTGCAAACATTTTGCGAAGCAAACACATCGGTCCAGGCTACCAGTTGGAAGCCAATGCACTGATGCTGACCTGCGACAATTTGCGAGCGCTGGAAAGGGTGAAGGAGGCGGTCCACATGGACGACGAAGAACGACAGGGGTGTGTGTCATGATGTCTCTTTCTCTTAACAACAGTGGTGAACAACGGTCCACTCTGCACTTTGGTGGTTCATCAAATCATTCTGTTTTTCTTTGGTTGAAAAGAGCAGCATGAGCAGTGTTGCACCGTCAGCATGGGCTTAAGCACAGCAGTCAGCTCGAGCACGGGAGTTGACCTGCCCAACCCTCAAGTTGCTGGTTCAATCAAGCCTTCTCATCTACCCTCTAAAGTCTATCAAGGTGTCAACATCCAATTTCCCAGAGACTGAATTCTACAGATACCACCCTACAGTGACTTCCTCCTCGCTCAGTCGACTTCGCCCAGTGAGCTCGGTAAGCTCTTCGACCGCCTAGTTCACAGCCGCTGAGGGCACCCAGCCAAGTGTTTTTCGACACCAAAAGGCGCTTGTTGCGGCCAACACGACCCCAAGCAAGCAAGCAAGCAGGCAAGTGTTTTGGATTCCAGGTGTTTCCTCAACCAATCGTGCCGGGTCGCTGGATCCGGCCAGGCCGCCGAGGCGGCGGATGAAGCGCTGGCGCTCTATCGGCACGTGGACGACACGGCGGGGGAGAATTTGGCCTTGGAGGTGATCGCCACCTTCCAGGATGGAGAGAAGCAACAGCGCCTGAGAACGCGCGACGTCGAACGCGCGCGCGAGAGTCACGCGCTTCAAACTTGTTTTCATTTGCTTCGCGGAAGCGGAGAAGCGATGTGCACGGAGATCGTGGAAGGTCAGGGAGGAGAGATCGATGTTCAGATGGATGGGTTGAGTGGTGAACTGAGACCTTGCAGAGACAGAAGAGACACACGCCTGGGAGGGGGAAAGGCAAGGGGTGTGTCTCACTCGTTTCAGATGTGTTTCGGGGAGAAGCGGCTGGAGGCTTTTTGGTGCATCGTGGATCCGGGTGAAGCCGCCATGATGTGGGAGAGGAGTATGCCGATGAAGGTCCACTTCCCCACAGCCTTTGACAGATTTGTGAGATCTAATCCATGTTATAAAGGAAGCCAAAAGGAGTCCTGGTCCAGTTGGGGTCCTTGTGGAAGACATTTTCTCAAATTCGTCCTTCCACCTTGGACAGTTCTCATTCTGCCGACCCGCGACGATCTCACGCTCGGCGCCAAAGTGCCCGGCGGTTGGCCCAGCCTTGGCTGAACTCCTTGCTTTGGCCAGGAGTTCATGCAACAGCAAGCTCCACAGTTCATGCCGCCGCCTCCTGTTCCGGGAGCTGGTGGAGCACAGGTGCCTGTCTGGCAGCAGGCTCAAGATGCAGGAGGACCACCGGAGGTGCGGAACGAAGGGGCATGGAAAGGGGCACAGGCGGCCAGGCGTGATGGTACCCCCCCTCTAACCCACCTACCACCCCAACCCCACCCTTGCATAAAATTTTCTGGTATTTGCAGTGTTTTAGGCATATTTTTGTGCAGAACAAATCTAACAACAATAAGGTACTTCGCACTTCAAAAAAACAACAAACGAAAGGACACACATAAAAAAGACGAATTATCCCCGGCCCAATGACAAACAGCAACAAACTAACAAACCAAAACACAAAATCCAAAAACAACAAATACAACTTCGAGGATACTTTTTGGTTGGGCTTTTGCAAAACCTGACCTGAAGCCTTTCTTCTTGAGCACTCTCTTTTGTCCTTGTCTTGCACGAGCCACCTCTCATTCCTCGTGCATGTGCCGCGGCCAAGCCGAAGGGCCACTTGTTGTCCCTAGCTCAAGGCCGGAACTCAAGTGATCGATCGTGCCTGGCGATTCCTGAAGGACCGTCTGCAAATCAATCAGGCATCCCGTGTCGGAAGTGCTGCCCTCCGAGCAAAGCTCCGGTGTGCGCAGTAGGGGTACTGGTATCGCAACCGGGACATGTGGATTGCCACAGTCTCTCTCTGTTTGTGGGAGATGGCACAGTTCATCAAGGCCAACTGAGCCAGCACCATATGACTTTATGACTTCGGGGAAAATCGGCAATTTCTGACTGCTGCTTGGAACATGCAGGCCACAACCCAATACCGTTCTACGTCAGTTGGTCACCTGCTTATCTGCAAAAGATGTCACCTCTCTAAGAACATGTCAACCTTCTGGTACAACATCCAAGATGCAAACTCAAGACCCTCCTGAAAACTTCACATTCAAGTGGTGCGTCTGTCATCTCTGCACACACACACACACCCATGTCAATGCAACGCAAGGTTCAAGGCGTTCATCAAAAACTACCTTCAATTGGTGCTTCTGTTAAATCTGCACACATACACATCCATGTTTCCAATGAATAGGTGGGCTTTGCGGGGGCTAGCATACATATATATATATATACATCTGTATATACACACGTAATATATTTATATACACACAGGTATAGCATTATTCTTTAGTGTATATATATATATGTCTGTATATACCATAAGATACCTTCCTCTCCCAACACCCTGGTCACCATGGTTTCGGCTCCATCTGCAGGCCGCCGTGTCCAAACCCATCCAGCGCGGACCGGCCGGGCCCGCGCTCGACGTGAAGTCTGGGCTGAGCCTCGAGGTCGTCACCGGCAAGGCGGCGCGAGCCGGCGAGTGCACGGCGCGACCGGTGGGACTGGGTGACGGCACGGGAGGTGTGAATCTTTTTGGGGGGCAAGCGGGCTGTGCGGCTATTGTGGCGTGATGTTGTTTTTGTTTTGTTGGGCTGGGTGGGACTAGTTCTGCAGCGCTTTTGGCTACTGAGCTGCGGGGGGTTGCTGAAAGGAGTGCAGCACCGGGTTGTGCTGAGTCACTTCTTTGTGAGTGCTGTGAACAAAATTTTCCTGCCAAGGCTTTAGTTACATTCTGTACTTGGCCATTTTAGCATATTTTGGTTTTTGGTGTCCACAATCGTCCAGGTTCTTTTCGATTGGAACCACGACCGCAGGTGAAGGAGATTGCCCTCAGGATCACCGGTGCAGACGAGGGTGAGATTGAAGCCGACACACCTTTGATGGAAGCAGGCTTGACCAGCAATTCTGCTCGGACCTTAGTTGTTTTTTTTCAGTTCAAACAACAGTGGATACCCACGTAGACCTGGATGCGTTCTTTTTCCTGAGGCAATTATCATGCGTGATGTGCCTTGGTGGCATTACCTTTGCTACTATAAGATTTAGGCGATATACGGCCCAGCTTGTGGGTGACTGGAAGTGGGTGTTCGGCAGCATATCTCCGAAGCATGTTGAATGTGAAGTCTAGAAGAGTATGTCGAGAATCAAAAAGAGCAACATTAAGGCTAACTATGGCTCAGCTTGGTTAGAAGATGAGAAGAACCTTACAGTTTGATTCGTTTGGTTTTGGCGGTGACGGTTCTATTTGAGCCTAATGCCTTGTGTACGAAGGAGCTTTCTCAAGCTCTTCCTGGTGTGCAGCTGCCAGTCACCCTGGTCTTCGATTACCCTTCCGTGTCTGCGATGACTGAACTGATCCTGCAGAGCACCGGGGCTCCTGCCCTGAAGAATTAGACCTCCGGTGTGCTCCGGAGCTGAGTCATTGCAGTCGACCACATATTGAGCTGAGTCATTGGAGTGACACTCCCTCGCAATATATGGAGACTGATGTGATGAGAGGGGCTGTCAGAAATCATTCGAACAACATATTGATAGGCTAGAGTTTAAGGCCTGACATGCTATGTTGGACAAACATCGGGGGGAGATTGAGCAGCTTTGCAAAATAGCGCTAACCCACAATTTGTTTGTTCAGAAATGACTGAGGAGGACCAATGCGGCCCAAAAGCACAGTGCACCATAGTCAAAGTTGGAATGAGTCCCTTTCCTCAGCTCTTCTTTAGGTTTTGAGCACCATTGCCTCAACAAGAGGAGGGATTATTCGCTTCCTGTCGAGGTCTTCCGTGAAAAACGACCGCTCCTCAGCCTCCTCACGTCAACGCCCACGCCTTGCTTCGGCCGTCCCGCCTCCGGTCCCCCGTTGGCTTCAGCTTGACGCAGGACGGGTCCACGGAGAAGCATCGCGGCTTCGCGTTCGTGCAGTACGGCGAGGCGTCGGTCGACCCGCGCGCCACGACGCGACGAACGCGGCGTCTCCTCGACGCCGCGGCATCTCCGGCGTCGCGGAAGGGACGGTCCCGTGCAGCGAGTCGGGACTGACGGGGCCAGGCAGCCAAGGCTGAGCGGGCGATTGCTGAGCTCAACAACACGAAGACCGGGCGATTGCTGAGCACACGACGTGGTTTTCCGTCACTTCAGGTCGAATCACGAAAAAGCGATCAGATACTATAGAATGATATAGAATTGGATAGGTTGTACTGGGTTAAGAGGTGATTTGGTGTTGCTTGACATGAGCAGAATTCTGAAGCCAACCCATCGGCATTTCAGAGATTTGCACATCGGCTTTCTTGTACAGCACATAGCACTGGCATGAGAACTGCCCAATCATGCAGGATTTGTGGCCGTGTTGTGGCAGTTGATTGGGCAGTAGATGCTTCTGTGTCGGGCACTGAGATTGATTTGATGCGCACAGTCGGCGCCGTGTCTCCCACTGGTCTGAGTTTGATTAGAGATCCAACTAACATTAACTAACTATATATATAGAGAGAACTGCATGAGCTTGGACATGGCTAGACAATGCCAAGGTATAGCTCCTTGCAACGTCGGGTCCCTGAAAGGTCGTCCGCGTAAGCGGTATGCCTCGGTGGCCCGACGAACGGGGGAGAACAGTCGAACGTCGAGGACTCGAAGCGGATCCCGTTTTGGGAAGGAACCTCAATCCATCCCTCCAAAGGTCTACAGATCCAGAAGACACAGTGCAGAGTTTCGTTCGATGTCTCACTAACAGTGCAGAGTTTGGTGTCACATATGTACCAGTCGTTCGGTGTACCCAACCAATCCACCTGGCCTTCACTGTCCTTGCCTCGCTTTACGAGAGCGCCTCGATCGTTGGCTCGGCGGTCCGAGGAGCCGAGCGACCGGAGCCCGGGTACCGAACACCAAAGTGACGAGCATGGGCGAAACGGTGGATGGATGGTGAGTCTGAAACAGGATGGGGCGAGTCGAATCTATGATGTTCTCTTTTCTTTGTTTCTTTGTTTGTTTCTTTGTTTGTTTGTGAGAAAATCGGCCATGCATTCGCTTCCATGTTGACCACACTGCCCTTTTGGCCCCGGTTCTAGGATCCTCGAGCCACTCGTTCCTTCGCGTTCACGCGGTGCGGAAATGGCGTGCTGCTGAGACGACACGTCTTGACAAGTTGGCACCGGAGCCTTTTCTGGCAGGTGTCTCTGAGGGATGCCGATCCCCCTCCTTTCGGTTGGGCCTGCTGTCCCGACCTTCGACATGGCCGCTGAGGATGATGGCGATGATGGCTACGACTTCGACCTGTTCGCTGACGATGCCACTTCGCACCACTCGGTATGGCCTGAGCCTGAGCCACCTGCCCGAACGACCACAGAGACCTTTCATGTTGAGCCCAATGAAGTTGAGCAGCCGCCGACATCTCCTACGAGCTGGCGGTGCCTCCGTTGCGACTCCACGAGGGCGACCTATGTGGGCCAAATCGGCCGTTGGCGTTGCTCGGACTGCGGAAGCCATGAGTTCTGCCAGGTTGATAAGCCCACCAAGTCCGTGACTTCGACTGGCACATGGATGTACGTTCCTAATGCCCCTGCTGCTGCTTCACCTTCATCGAAGGGTGCCCGCCGCAGGAGAAGGAAGAAGGATGCACGAGACGGTGGATTCCCTGGTGATGACCATGGCCAGGACGACGACGAAAATGAACAAGCCGAATCAGAACAGTTGACCAACGACCCTGTCATCGACCCCTCCGATGACAAGAGAGGGCCACGAGCTGGACACCTTCCTCATTCTGGGTTACCTCATGGAGTCCCTCCTCAACGGCCTGACCAGGCCGGATCAGGATCACCACTATCTCCTGACAGTCAACGACCAGCTGGTGGTGCACCTGACCACGATTCACCTGTACCTGTCCTACATGTGAAGACACCTTCAAGGAGGTCAGACCGACCTTCCAATGCTGCCGGATCCTCAACACCTCCGGCAAGCTGGAACTCCAAGAAAGGGCCTATGCCCGGAGTGAAATGGAAGTCGGGGCAGCCACCCGCTGTTCCGACATGGAAATACGACCAGAACGACATGCGCGCCTTCGCCAAGTTCACGAAGAAGATTGCCATATGGCGCCTTCAAATGGAAGCCTATGCCAGCCCCAAAGAGCAGGCTCTGATTCTGTACAATGGCCTCACCGGCGAACTTGAACAAGAATTGGAACACCTCTCCATTGAGGACATCTTCAAGCCGGATGGGGTGGATGTCATCATGAGCTTGCTCAAGAAGCCATTTGAGCAACGCCTCATTTACCAAAAAAGGAGATTTCTGCACGAGTTCGAGACCTTCCGCCGCTTCCAAGGCGAATCGATGAGGGCATATGTGCAGAGATTCAGGAGGGTGCAGAGATCTCTCAAATCCGTCGGAGTAGAGATAAGTGGAACGTTTGACTCCGACTCGCTGGGCTCCCGACTGTTGGACCGCAGCGGTCTGTCCTACCAGGACCAAAGGATGGTCCTCATAGGCACGCAACAAAGCCTGGACTTTGAGACCATCGCTGAGTGCCTAGTCCTTCAATGGCCAGAGTTCAGGACCGCTCCACTCGTCGTGAACAAGGATGGACAAAGCAAAGGAGCTGGCAAGACCAAGCATGGAACTTCATCGAC